GCCATGGCCTCTTTTCCCTTTCAGCAAACTGCTGTCCATGACGTACAGAACAGTCATATCCACTGGAGCAAAACAGGAACACTTCTTACTCTGGCTGCAAGCTTTTATTTTCTATCAGTTTGTTCTGTTTTTTTTCTCATCTGGCTCTTGGGGTAGAAGCCAATTTCCAGACTACTGAAAGGTTTGGGTTTTTTCTCTTAGCCCCTAAAAGGGCTAGCAGAAGTTTCCACTTTAGCAACAGGAAGGTCAATCTAAAATAAACTCAGAAGGACACCTGGGTGGCTCAGTTGGTTGGGCGTCTGCCTTCGGCTTGGGTCATGATCCTGGGGTCCTGGGATCGAGTCCCACATGGGGCTCTCCGCTCTTTGAGGAGCCTGCTTCTCCCTCTGCCTGCCACTCCCCCTGCTTGTGCTCTTTCTCCCGCCCCCTTTCTAACAAATGAATAAAGAAAATAAGCTCAGAGGTCTCCCCTACAGGAGAGCCCAGCTTCCAAAGCTACGGTGAAACAGGAGGAAGCAATTAGCTGATTATTGATTGTGAAAATCTGGCCCACAAACGAGAAAGGAAATTCCCCATGAACTTGGCAAAGCACTTAACCAAGGTTTTAACACTGCAGTCGTGCCCATTTTTAAGTTGTATTTCTCCCCACTAAGAACAAAAACAAGTAGTTAAGTAATGTGTATTTGGTGCTTAGGATGTCCCAAGCATTGTGCTAAACACTTACCCTCCTCTACATTAACCCTATAAGGCATGTACCAGCATGTCGCTTTTAATGCTGTAGAAATGGAGGCTCAGGAAAGCTAAAAAAACTTGCCTAGAGTCACACAGGTAGGAATTGGTGTTTACAGGCAAATCCAGGTCTGTCCAACTCTAAAGCCCCATATTCTGGGTGCTCGATTTAATTTTTTTTTAGAAGTCAATTCCATAAATTTGTTCATAATTCTGAGTGATATTCTATGCGGTCATGAAATCACAGAATTCAAGAACGCTAAAAGGCTTGCTTTCTCTTGACACATGATCATCCCCATCTCAGTGCAAACTGTGAAATGTTCCCAATCCTTTGCCTCCTCATCCTCCCCCCATCCTATTCAAATTCATAATGCCAGGACTGTAGAAACGCATCAGTATTCTTATTAGTGTCTAAAGATACAGAGGCTGTCATTCACTGCTGTTGGGAGCACATATGATAAATCTTTCTGGAGGGCAACTTGGCAGAATGTATCAAATGCCTAAAGAGGAATTTAAGTCTGCATAACCACTTCTAGGAATTTATCTTAAGTAGATTATAAGGGGTCGATCTGCATAAAGATTTGTCAATAAAAGTGTCTATTGCAATTTTATAATAGCAGAAAAAAAGGAACAACCTAATTGTCAAATAGTAATCTTGGTAAATACATTATTGTAGTTCTTCATGCTGCAATTCTATAAAGATAGCCACTGAAAATTCTGTAGAGAAAAAATGACATAGGAAAATGTTCTCAATAAATGAAAAGCAGTCACAAAATATTATCCCCATTAAAGTTTATATTGTGTGTGGATATACAACATAATGCTAAAAGTGTTTAATTTAGAAAATTCAATCATGGGTGGTTTTTATTTTATTCTTTGTCCTATGTTCTTCCAGTTTTCTTCAGTAACCATATTTTTGTAATTCTAAAACCACTGGTGAAGAAGTAGAAAAAAACTCACCTGGTGCAGCTTCTCCTGCTAAAAGTGAGTTTTCCCCTGCTTAAGTTTTCCAGCAAAATCAAACCCTCTAGTCTTTTTTTTTTTCTTTTTTGAGAAAGAGAGAGCACCAGTGCGCAGGGGTAGGGGGTGGTAGGGGTAGGAGAGGGGCATAGAGGGAGAGAGAGAATCTTAAACAGGCTCCATGCTCAGTGTGGAACCTGATGCAGGGCTTGATCTCACGACCCTGAGGTCATGACCTGAACCAAAATTAAGAATCGGACGCTTAACCGACTGTGCCACCCAGGCACCCCAAACCCTCTAGTCTTTTGTGCACACATACAAAATATTTTTAAAATTTTTATTGAAGTATAACATATATATGGAAAAGCGTACATACTGCAGCCTATTAAATTCTCACAAAGCCATTGCAACCAGCATTGCAAAGAGAACGGCCAGCACCCCAAGAAACCTGTTATGCCCTCTTCTAAACACTACCACCCCACAAACTAAGCACCATCTCTACTTCTATCACCATAGCTTAGTTTTGCCTGGTTTTAAACTTTATATCTAAAGTGAAATCAAAGTATGTACTCTTCGGCTTCTGACTTCTTTAACTCAATATTATCTTTGTGGGATTCATTTAAGCTGCAGAATGTAATAGACCATTTCTTTTCATTGCCGTATGGAATTATATTCTGTGAATCCACCACAATTTATTCACTCATCCAACTATTGATGGGTATTTGGGTGATATTCAGTTTGGGGCCGTTATGAATGAAGCTGCTACAAAGTCTCTTTGTGAATATATGTGATACATTTGTTACTTGTAAACCTAAGATGGGGGTTGCTGGGTGACAACAAATTTTTAAAATTCTCCTGAACCAGGATATTTGCCCTGATCCACATTGCCCTCAGCACATGACATACTTGCATGGTTTATAACGTATGCATATGCCTTCGCTAATGTGTTCATTTTACTCTTCTGTCAGTTTGGCACGTGTCCTGCAAGATGGCAACTTGTGGGTTTCTGCTCAGTGGCGGGGAAGGGATGTAGTCCTTAAACGTTACTAACAAGTTATTCTGAACAAGAACTAGTGAATTCAGCTGCCTTGGTCAATCTAAAACAGGTGATTTACCTTAAAATGTTCCCATTGTTTTACAACATGTTCTTGTGAAACACTATTCTCCTCTCTGGTCAGAGAACAAAACAGGTGACTCCCCAGAGCACTCGCACCTGCTGCACCTCCCAAGGGCACAGATACTGCTCCCACCAAGGATATCCTGGGGATGGGAGCTCAGGAGCAGGGCACACTGACCTTCTTCCTGTCCCAATTTGCAGCCACTCAACAGGTTTTTAGTAAGTGCTTTGAAACCATAAATGTATTTGTTTGCCAATAACTGTGACTTCTCCAAAAGCAAAGACACACCTAGTGCAGTGCTTATATACGACAGAGGCCCAATAAATAAATGTTAAAGATGCATAATCTGAAATGCATGGAAAGAGGGGCACCTGGGTGGCTCAGTTCGTTAAGCGTCTGCCTTCAGCTCAGGTCATGATCCCGGAGTCCCAAGATCAAGTCCCATATTGGGCTCTGCTTCTCCCTCTGCCCTTCACCCTGCTTGTGCTCTTACTCTCTCAAATAAATAAAATCTTTAAAAATAAATAAAATTTTTAAAAAGAAAGAAATGGATGGAAATAATCTACCTTTCCAGATAACTACCCAAAAGTAGTCAGTCATACAGAAACAAAATCTCTCTCAGTGGAACTGAAATGACAACGTATATGTCCATCACGGCAGCTAACCAACCCCCATGCTATGGAATGTTCTACAGCAGTAAACACTGAGGTGAATCTTTACACATGGATATGGAAAATGCTCCATCATTTGTTCTTAGTTACAAAAAAAGAAAAAAGCAAGTTGCAAACAATCTATATAACATTTTATCATTTACAAAAAAACAAAAGCTACATATTTCAAGATACGTATGTAAGTAAATGCACAGGAAGGGGCCTGGAAGGTTACACACCACACTGATAACAGCAGATAGCTCCAGAGATGAGGTTGAGGATGGTATCAAAGGGATTTATTTCTCCTTGTTTCTACCAAGGTCCCCCCATGAAGACTGAACAGTCCACAAATTGAAGAAAAATCAACTTCTCCCTGCTACTGCCAGTAGGTTTGTTTATCTTCTAAGCATAGACACCTGACTACTCTGTCTCCCTAAGCATCATGAAAAATGTAGGGAAAGTACAGATAAGAAAGAGTTCCTTAAACAAGCTCTGGCAGTTACCGCCGGGGCCTTCAAGGGAGACTTCTGTGAAGGGAGGCCTGGAGATGATTTCGGGAGTGAGGAAACAGGAGATCCATTTTCCATATTTAAGAAATGTGAGCTCATGTCAATAAAACGGGGGGGGGGCGCTTTCCAAGGACTGCGCACACTTTACGGGGCTGTAAAAATACAAAAAGGGAGGGAGGAGCGCCAAATACCCGTCGGAGGTACTTTAATTCGGATAGAAGCAGGAAAAGAGAAGGGAAGATACATAAGAGTTGATGGAATGAAAACACGAGGTGGTGCATTTATGCTCAATTACAGCCTCACAAATAAAATTAATCTTTTGTGTACAGCGCTTTGCATTTTGGAATATTCCGTCTCACAAAAATGGAGCTTAGAGTAAGGAGTCCAGGCCAAATTCTGCCACTGAAACAAGTGTTATCTCCGTCCCATTAGCGAACATCTTTTGGTGGCTTTAGTGTCATCGGTGAAACGGGGCGGGGTGGACTAAGCCTGGAACGCAGCCATTCTGACTTCTATCCAAAGCCTAGGGCAGTTCAGTACCAACCAGCAAGGGAGCGCCTCTTCCGCGTGGCTGCGGAGGGGATGCGGGTCATTCCCACTCCTCGGCCGGGGCTCCCCAAGTGACCGGAGAAAGGGGGCCGAGTGCGGGACTGTCCGTGCGCCCACTCACACCGGCCTCGAGTCACTTCCGACCCCGACAGTCGGGCATCCAGCGCCGAGGCCGGAAAGGTCCGGGACTGCACCGGGGCGGGCGCCGGGCCCGATGACGTGGTCCAATCCCCGGCCGCAGACGGCCGTTTTCCCCCAACTGGCAGACTGGCCCCCCCGGCTGCCTCGAGAGCCGGAGCCGGCGACGGAGGAGGGGGCGGGCCTAGGACGTGGCCCAATGGGAGCGCGCGCCGGGACGGCGGGGGCGGGGCCGGGCGCGCGGCGCAGGGCCGGGCGGCGGAGGCTCCAATGAGCGCGCGCCGCGTCCGGGGCCGGCTGGTGCGCGAGACGCCGCCGAGAGATTGGTGGCTAATGTAACAGTTTGCAAACCGAGGGGAGTTGTGAAGGGCGCGGGCTTGGGGGCGCGCTGCCGTCCTCGTGGGTACGTCCGCCGCCGCGTTTGTCCCAGAGCTGGGGCCGCAGGAGCGCAGGCAAGCGGTAGCGGGGGGTGGGGATGGCGATGGGAGCCGGCCACCCCTCCTGGAGGAGGCAACGTGCTAGCTCCGGGGGCGGGTCGGGAGCGGGAGTGAGGGCCGCACGGACGCCGGTGAGCTTGGCGCCGCAGCTCAGTCCCTCGGCCGCCCCCGCGTCTTGGGGGTGGGCCGGGCCGCGTTTCCGGGAGTGGGAGCAGCCGCCTTCGCCAGGTGAGGTTTAGGTGAACTCGGGGGGGGGCGGCGGGGGACTCGGTGCCCGCCCGGCGAAGAATCTTAGCGCTCCTGGCACGGCGTCTGTGTAGGCAGCGGGGCGGGCCGGGGGTTGGGATGGAGAACGGAGGGCGGGCGGGACACCCCGAAGGGATACAGAGGAGGAGACGGGCCCTTCTAACATCCCAGCCTCGTCCAACGTCACCACCTCTCAGTTCCCGTCCGGGCCCGGCCTGGCTTTCCCCTGCCAGCGGAGGAGCTCCAGGTGTAGGGAGGTAGTTGAGCCCTGGGCGGGGATTCCTGGCTTCAGCCCAGGTGTCTGACAGCAGGGGCAGTGCTAGGGTGCGCCGGTTATAGCCTATGCAGTGGACGGAAGGCTCTGGTCCTCTTTCTCCTGTCCTGGTATCTTCCCTGTTTAGGGATGTGTTGGATGGAGCCCAGGACCCTTTGTGTGATTAGAGTGCCGGGTCCTTAATCAGGAGGGAGAGCTGGAGATGTAGGCTCCTCTGCTCCCAGTGACAGTGGAGTATAAATCTTAAAGCTTCTCTGTTCTGGGATGAGGTTCTGTCTTCTTCACTCAGGGCATCCGGTTACAAGTGTTGTTTTTCTCCTCCCTCAGAGGCACAATGGCAGCCACCATCAGGAGGCAGAGGCCAAGGAGGCTAGCCTGTTGGGTCATGATGGCTGTGCTCTTGGCAGACCTGTTGGCACTGAGTGGTGTGTACCCCAGAAGCAGGCTCAGCAGAAGAATAAATGAGTGAATGATGAATGATTCATGGTGGGAGGGGAGGCTTTTGGTTGGAAGCCTCTGGACTGGAGTTGCTGAACCCAGGCCTTTATCTTTTTACTTTCTTACCTTTCTCTGTGGGGAGTGCTGTGCTTTGGTTAGAGGGGACTCAAGAATGTGGGGGAAGAGGGGCTAATTGACAAATCTGTTTCCTTTTCAGACACATTGGCTGTGATGTCTGTGGACCTGGGTAGCGAGTCCATGAAGGTGGCCATTGTCAAACCTGGAGTGCCCATGGAAATTGTCTTGAACAAGTGAGGGTGACCCCAGTGTCAGGGGTGGGGAAAGAGGGGAGTCTGTGCTCCAAGCCAGTGTGGATTCTTCCTAGGGCCCACAACAGTCCGGTGTCTGAGGGATTGTATTTGGGGTGTTGAGGCTCCTGAGTCCACACCCTGCTATAGGCACCTGGGCCCTCCGTCTCTTCTCTTCAGGGAATCCCGGAGGAAAACCCCAGTGACTGTGACCCTGAAAGAAAATGAAAGGTTCTTTGGAGACAGTGCAGCAAGCATGGTGAGCTAGCAGCCCACCCCCTTCTTAGAGTGGTGGGCAGAGGGGAGGAGATGACAGACCCCAGAGCCTGAACTTCTGATGTGAGAGGTAGGTGATGGTGGGCTTGGGAGCCTAACACCCTACTCCTTATTTACCTCCTCTCAGGCCATCAAGAACCCGAAGGCAACGCTGCGTTATTTCCAGCACCTCCTGGGGAAGCAGGAGGGAAACCCCCACGTGGCCCTTTACAGAGCTCGTTTTCCAGAGCATGAGCTAGGCTTCGACCCACAGAGGCAGACTGTGCACTTCCAGATCAGCCCGTGAGTGCTGTGCTGGGGACGGCGGGCTCAACAGGCCCGATGGGCTCCTGTAGTGCTCACAACTGTCCTTGCCTCTCACTACCCCCCATCCTCCAGGCAGCTACAGTTCTCACCTGAGGAGGTACTTGGCATGATTCTCAATTACTCCCGTTCCCTGGCTGAGGATTTTGCAGGTGAGTAGCTAAGGTGGGGTCAGTGGTGGCCAGGTTCCTTAGGGTCTCATGGCGGGGGGAGGCGGGGGGGCAGTTTTTGCCTCCCAGGGAACCTTTGGCAATATTTGAAGATATCTTTGCTTTGGTTATGGGGGGAGCTGCTCCTGACATCTACTGGGCCGGGGATGCTGCCGAACATCCTACAATGGGCAGGACAGCCCCACACAGCAAAGGGTTATTTGGCCCAAAATGTCAATAGTACCAAGACTAGGAAAGTGTCATCTGAGGCACGGAGCTGGTGGGAGCCCCGTTCTATTGTCCTCTGTAGAGCAGCCCATCAAGGACGCAGTGATCACGGTGCCAGCCTTCTTCAATCAGGCTGAGCGCCGAGCTGTGCTGCAGGCCGCTCGCATGGCTGGCCTCAAAGTGCTACAGCTCATCAACGACAACACCGCCACGGCCCTCAGCTATGGTGTCTTCCGCCGGAAAGATATCAACAGCACTGCCCAGGTGAGCCAGGGAGGAACTTCCGAGCAGACTAGCAGGGTGGCTTGTTGGGCATCTTGTTTGCATGGCTAGCCCTCGACAAAATGCAGCAAGAGAATGCCCCTCTCAGCCGCTGTTGGAGCTTTTCAGCCTTAAGTGGAGAGTTGGTACAGCACCTGGAGTTAGAGGAGGTTCCTGTGACCGTTGTCTTGGTGTCTCTACAGAACGTCATGTTCTACGACATGGGCTCTGGCAGCACTGTGTGCACCATCGTGACCTACCAGACAGTGAAGACCAAGGAGGCGGGGATGCAGCCGCAGCTGCAGATCCGGGGTGTGGGGTAAGTCAGTGCTGGAAGGAGGGCTGCTTGCTGAGACACACTCGGGTCGGGGCTTTCTTCTCCGAGGGGCAGCTGCTTCATTTTTCTGCACGAATGCTCTTCTGAAGCATTGGTCATCATGGGGTACCTGTTGCAAGACTCAGGGGAAGATGGAGAGGGAGGATGACAGTTTGGAAGATTGAAAGGCAGGGAACTTCCTGAGCTGCTTCTAAGGAAACCCGTGAGGCCGTAGACCACGTGCAGTCATTTCGTTGTTCTTGTCGTTTTCCACGTGCTTACCGATGACATGGTCTTCTCAAACCTGTTCATTTCTGGCCTGCTCTCCCACCAGCACTCCAGTCCAGGCTACCATCATCTCTGACCTGCAGGGTTACGAAAGAAGGTCTCCCTGCCTCCAGTGTGGCCTCCCTCGGGTTCTTTCTCCACATTGCAGCTAGAGGGTTCTTTTCAAAATGCTAACCTGATTATCTGTTTCTTTAAAAACCCTCAGTGGGGGGCGCCTGGGTGGCTCAGTTGGTTAAAGCGACTGCCTTCGGCTGTGGTCATGATCCTGGAGTTTCGGGATCGAGTCCCACATCGGGCTCCCTGCTCAGCAGGGAGTCTGCTTCTCCCTCTGACCCTCTTCCCTCTCGTGCTCTCTCTCATTCTCTCTCGCAAATAAATAAAATCTTTAAAAATAAAAAAAAATAAAAACCGTCAGTGGTTCCAAATCTTTTACGTTAGCCTGTGAAAGCCCTGACCCCTCCCACTTGTCTCTATCCAAAGTCCCTTGCTCTTTGAGCGCAAGCCGCACCTGCCCTCCTTGGGAACTTACTTTGCCCGCTCCCACCTCGGGTGCTTACGTATACTGTTTCCCCTCTCTAGATTTGTTTTCCCTGCTCTTCGCCTCGTTACCTCCACTCATCCTTCAGATTGCAGCTCAATTATCGTGTCTCCACAGAACCTTCCCTGACTGTCGAGAAATAGGCGACACTTCCCTTTTATGTCTCCTGATGCTGTTGCTTGTCCGTCCCTCATAACTCACAGGGGGGTACATGTTTCACGTCCGTGTGTTGGTTCGCTGCTAGATTGTAAACTCCTTGATAGCAGGGACCCCATCTTTTTTCTCTTAATTGCATCCCGAGACAAGCACGAAGTTGACGCCCAGTAGATACAGTGGATTGGAGGAGTAGGTAAACTGTCACTGAGTTGTCAGCCACGTACGTGGGACAAGAGTCAGGTTCCTGGGTCAATGAAGGGACCCTGTGTGTTCCTCACACTTTTCTTTGTCACCTTTTCCTGAATAGATTTGACCGCACCCTGGGGGGCCTGGAGATGGAGCTCCGGCTGCGTGAGCACCTGGCAAAGCTTTTCAATGAACAGCGTAAGGGCCAGAGAGCAAAGGATGTGCGGGAGAACCCCCGTGCTATGGCCAAGCTGCTGCGGGAGGCGAATCGACTCAAGACCGTCCTGAGTGCCAACGCTGATCACATGGCACAGGTGCCCGCTCGTGGCTGCATGAGGGAAAATATTCCCCATCCGGAGGGGAGAGGACCCCAGCCTCCCGAGCTAGGCCACTGGTGTGCGGTGTGGCCCATCCCTTTCCCTTGGTCTCTTGCCCTTCTCCCAAAGTCCCGTTCCCTCGGTTTCTGGCCTGCCCAGCCAGAGGAGGATCTGGGTGGGAACTCTGACATGCCTCATCCTCCCCCAGATCGAGGGCCTGATGGACGATGTGGACTTCAAGGCAAAAGTGACCCGAGTGGAGTTTGAAGAGCTGTGTGCAGATTTATTTGAGCGAGTACCTGGGCCTGTACAGCAGGCCCTCCAGAGTGCTGAGATGAATTTGGTGAGGGGAGAGTCAGGCGTGGGCCTGGGGTGGGGAGGCAGGTGGCAGAGAGAGTGACTGGGTGGCGGGCAGGAGGGGGCAGGAGTGTTAAGGGACAAGTCAGCGCTGAGGAGGAGGGCTAACTCCAAGCTGTTCCGTGTCCCATTCTTTCTCTGCAGGATGAGATTGAGCAGGTGATCCTGGTTGGTGGGGCCACCCGGGTCCCTAAAGTTCAGGAGGTGCTGCTGAAGGCTGTGGGCAAGTGAGTGTGGGTGTTGAGGCACTGGGGCCAGGGCTCTGGGGCTGGGCAGCTGCAGGGCTGAGGAGAGGGCGGCCAGGCTGGGTGCTCCAGAGTTGACGTGCTAAAGCGTGGGACTCCCACAGGGAGGAACTAGGGAAGAACATCAACGCCGACGAAGCAGCCGCCATGGGGGCTGTGTACCAGGCAGCCGCGCTCAGCAAAGCCTTCAAGGTGAAGCCGTTTGTAGTCCGAGATGCGGTCATCTACCCCATCCTGGTAAGTAGGCCCATCTGATCAGGCGACACGCTCCTTTTACCTCACTGAGCATGCTCCCTCTGTCTGCTCTAGCCTGCCCCCTTGTTTTCTGGCAGCTGATGTTCTCCATGTACCCTTACCCCAGAACGTGCTCTGGCTCTCCAGCGTGCCTCCTCTCTGCCTGCTGTGTAGGTGGAGTTCACGAGGGAGGTGGAGGAGGAGCCCGGGGTTCGCAGCCTGAAGCACAATAAGCGTGTTCTCTTCTCCCGAATGGGGCCCTACCCTCAACGCAAAGTCATCACCTTTAACCGCTACAACCACGACTTCAATTTCCACATCAACTATGGTGACCTGGGCTTTCTGGGGCCTGAGGATCTTAGGTGAGAAGGGGGATCGGGATGGGAGGGAGGATCTGGGGCCACAGGGCTGACAGGCAGCAGGCTGTGTGGTCAGGGTTGGGGTGACCATCTTGCGGGGGCGGGGGTGGTGATATTTCATGACGGGAGGCTATGTAGTCTAGAGCTGGATGCAGGCTGGGTGAGCACCCTGGAATGGCTCTTTCCTCCCCAACCAGGGTCTTTGGCTCCCAGAATTTGACCACGGTGAAGCTAAAAGGTGTGGGTGAGAGCTTCAAGAAGTATCCTGACCACGAGTCCAAGGGCATCAAGGCTCACTTCAACCTGGATGAGAGCGGCGTGCTCAGCCTCGTCAGGGTGAGAGCAGAAGGAGGCACAGGGCGAGGGCCTAGGCCCCACCAGCCTTTCCAGAGTGGTTCCTCCACATGGTATTAGAACACAAGAAACGAGAAGGGTTTGGGAGATGGAAAAGCCTTGGGTCTAAACACAGCTAACCAGGGATCTGCTGTGGTCTTAGGTCCTTGGAGTGCTTATGGGTATCGTAAAATTTAGGACCTATAGGATGGCTAAGTAAGTCATTCTCAAAGAATAGTTCTGGGGCTTAATATCTTTTAAAACACACTGGGAAATAATGGCCCGTTCTGTTGTCGAGGAAAGAAGTGCAGGATTCGGGGGAAAGGAGCTAGGACTCTGTACTCAGAGGGCTCATGATCAAAAGGGGTGGAGGTGACTTGACTCAGGAGCCCGTAGAAGGCGGCAGGTGAGGGAATAGGCCAGCACCGCCGCGAGTCACGTGGAAGCGCCTAAGTAGATGCCCACGATGGCAGGAGGTTTGTGGGGGGAAGGTGGGTTAGCACGTGTGTGCCTTCAGCTTGAATCCGTTTTCAGGTGGAGTCTGTATTTGAGACCCTGGTGGAGGACAGCCCAGAAGAGGAATCTACCCTGACCAGTAAGATGAGTGTGCGCGGTGCGTGCATGTGTGTGAGGGAGGAGGTACTTGTATGCGTTTTGGGGAGGCGGGCAGGCCTTGCCTTTGGGTTAGAAGATGGCGTCACTGCTGTGGCCCTTTTGAGTTTTGGGGCTTTCTTCCTCCCAGAACTCGGCAACACCATCTCTAGCCTGTTTGGAGGTGGCGCGACAGCAGACACTAAAGAGAACGGTACGGACGCCGTCCAGGTGAGGCCAGCATGGAGCCAGGGGGACTTGGAGGGTGGGGTATGGGCCCAGGGAGTGGCAGCGGACGCGGGGATTGGGGTGCGCATTCCAGCTGCCTGGGATTGGCTAGATCACCCCTTCCCGAGCCCCCCAGTGAACCATAGCCCACTCTGGACTCCAGGCTGCCCCTGTGTTCGAGCTCCGGGGCACATTCCCCTCCTCTCCAGGCTTGTCCTTCGCCCGATGAGACTGCCGAAGGCTGTGCAGCCCACCAGCCGTTGCTGGGCAGTGCGTCTGCCCCCACGCCGTGCTGGCGGCGGCAAGCCCCTTCACGGCAGTGCCTGGGGGACTCGGCCTTGCTGAGCCGGGTTAGCCTTAGGCTCCGCTAGTGACTGTTTTCTGTGGGGGCTATCTGTGATTGTTTCCCAGGAGGAAGAGGAAAGCCCTGCTGAGGGGAGCAAGGATGAGCCTGGGGAGCAAGCGGAGCTCAAGGAGGAGGCCGAGGCCCCAGAGGAGGACACTCCTCAGCCCCCACCCGCCGAGCCGAAGGAGGATGCAGCCTCTGAGGAAGAAAAGGCTGCAGAAAAAGAAAACGAGGAAAAGTCTGAGGCCCAGGTCAGCTGCAGGCAGAATAAGGCCAGGGTGGCCCCGGGGGCTAAGGGAATAGATGCCTGCCTTGTTTCTTGCCCCGAGAGCCCCGCCTGTGGAGAACAGAAGGGACTAAGCTGTTCCTGACATGCTCGTCTCTTTCTCCACTAGAAGCCAAGTGAGAAAAAGGAAGCAGGGTCTGAGGGTGTTCCTCCAACCCCAGAGGAAGAAAAGAAGCAGAAGCCTGCCCGGAAGCAGAGAATGGTAGAGGAGATCGGGGTGGAGTTGGTGGTTCTGGACCTGCCTGACTTACCTGAGGATGAGCTGGCCCGCTCGGCGCAAAAGTGAGTGGGGACTTTGCGCGTGCGTGTGCGTGTGTGTGTGTGTGTGTGTAGGGTGGGCAGGGTATGGAACGGCACCCCTGGGAGGGAGAACTGTCTCCCTCCAAGGTCAGCGTGCTCTCTCCTTCATGCTTGATTCTCTTTTGTCCCACAGACTTCAAGACTTGACGCTCCGAGACTTAGAGAAGCAGGAACGGGAAAAGGCTGCCAACAGCTTGGAAGCTTTTATCTTTGAGACCCAGGTTGGTAGGCTGGGAGGCACCCCTGCCCTGGGACCTGTGTCTGAGGAGGGTCTGGCTCTGTGAGCCTTGCCCTCAGGGGCTCGGTGCATGCTTGGGCCTGTGTGCACCTCCCTAGGACAAACTGTACCAGCCCGAGTACCAGGATGTGTCCACCGAGGAGCAGCGTGAGGAGATCTCTGGGAAGCTCAGCGCGGCCTCCACCTGGCTGGAGGATGAGGGCTTTGGGGCCACCACAGTGGTAAGCGGCCTCCCAGGACATGGCGGGTGGGATGGGAGCCCTCGCTCTCCTCTCCCAGGGTCAGAGAAGGTGAGGAGAGCTGGGGGGTGAGGCCGCGAGCGGGATGCAGGCCTGGCTCCAGGGCCGGCCTCTCCTCTCTTCAACCCCTCTGCCCCCTCCCACCCTGCATCCGTCAGATGCTGAAGGAGAAGCTGACTGAGCTGAGGAAGCTGTGCCACGGGTTGTTTTTTCGGGTGGAAGAGCGCAAGAAGTGGCCTGAACGGCTGTCTGCCCTTGATAATCTCCTCAACCATTCCAGCATGTTCCTCAAGTGAGCAGCCCCTTTGCTCTTCTTCCTGATTCAGTCCCTCCAAGCCTCAGGGTCTGTCAGCTTCCCGTGCCCCACGTGCACACCCCAGACCCCTCTTCCTCCTGGGCTCACCGTCTCCTTTCTGGCTTCCAGGGGTGCCCGGCTCATCCCAGAGATGGACCAGATCTTCACTGAGGTGGAGATGGCGACATTAGAGAGAGTCATCAACGAGACCTGGGTAATCCCTGTGTAAATACTCACGGGGATACTTAGCTGGCAAGGTGTCCGCGCTAGGCAGCGTGGGAGATGTGGAGAGATGGGAGGCTCAGCCGCCGCTGCCTCCTGGCCTCGCAGCTCATTGGAAAGGCAGAAAACGTTTATGTTTGCGGCCAGGTCTCATGAGCCCCAGACAGGGGTCGTGGCCATCCATGAGTTGTCAGACTGGGGTAGCAGTGGAGCCCATTCCCATGACGTTAGGGCAGCTGCTCCGGTGGGCTGGGGCTTGAGCTGCACTCAAAGTGGGCCCCGTTCGGGGAGGTGAGAATGACTGGTCATAGGAAGCAGAAACTTCCCTTTGGGATGTGTGGGGAATGTCTTTGAATCGGAGCTCAAGAAGTGCAGAGACAAGGGAGTGATCAAGAGCCGCAGCTGTAGTTGGTCCCAGGTAATCGGGTATAAGCCCCAGGCGTGTAGCTTGGGACTCCTTTGTGCAAAGCCTCAAATGCCATTCTGAGGAGCCTGCCTCCCCTTGTGGGGCTGACAGCCAGGTGGAGTGGAGTGGTTTGCGGTCTGGGGCTGGTTGGGGTGTATTTCATCTGGGGCAGAGATACCTGCGCTTTCCAGGGCTAGCTCTGAGCCTGGCCTGGCCTCGCCTCGCCCACAGGCCTGGAAGAATGTGACCGTGGCCGAGCAGGCCAAGCTTCCCGCCACAGAGAAGCCCGTGTTGCTCTCAAAAGACATCGAGGCCAAGATGATGGCCCTGGACCGTGAGGTGCAGTATCTGCTCAATAAGGCCAAGTTTACCAAGCCCCGGCCCCGGCCCAAGGACAAGAATGGGACCCGGGCAGAGCCTCCCCTCAATGCCAGTGACCAAGCGGAGAAGGTCATCCCTCCACCAGGTGAGGGCAGGGTGCCAGGCTCCAGGTGCTACTGGGCAGGAAGAAGGCCTCTCCTTCCGGCTCACCACATTTTATTCCTGGTTTGCTTCCAGGTCAGACTGAAGATGCAAAGCCCATTTCAGAACCTGAGAAAGAGACTCGTGAGTTGGGGAAAGTGGTTGGTGATATGGTTATTGCTTAACCTAGAGGTTGGCACCCTGGCAGGCACAGCCTGTTTCTGGAAGGTCCACAAGCTACGAATGGCCCTTATGTTTTTAGGTTATTGTACATGCGTGCGCTCACACACGCACACAAAGAGGCTGAGTGTGGCCCATAACTCCTAAAACATTGACTACCTGGCTTTTTGCAGAAACAGTTTGCCAACTCCTCCATTAGCCCCTTCCTCCCTTCCGTAGAGGCTAACCTCTTCCTTCTCAAAAGCAGGACCTGAGGCGGCAGATGCCGAGCCTCTGGAGCTGGGAGGTCCTGGAGCAGGTGAGCGTGGAGCTGGGGGTACCTGGGAAGCCTGGTTGGTAGGGTCCTGGGGGGAGGATCTGCACAGAACGGGGGCCGGTCACCTCCCATTTCACTGGCTCCATCCCTTTGCTCTTCCCCACCCCCAGCGGAACCAGAACAGAAGGAGCAACCCACAGGACAGAAGCCGACTTTGAAGAATGATGAACTATAACCCCCGCCCCGGTTCCCCATTTATCCCGCCCCCTTCTCCTACCTCCTCTATTTATTAAACATCGAGGGTCGGGGGAGGGGTTGCTCCTGCCCTCAGAGGCTTCGGTTCCTTTTCTCTCACCTTGATCGGAGGTGTGGAGGAGGGGAAGGAAGGGACAGCTCACCAGTTCCTTCTGCAGTGGTTCTGTGGTAAAAACCGAAATTGTTCGATTTCCTAATCCCACCCCTGGTTCCCTACCCATCCAGGCCCTAATTTGGGAAAAATCACTATTATGTCTTAATTCTTTGCCTGTGGGTAGGTGAGAGATTGACCGTGAGGGTTTGATGGACCTGGCAGGGGGAGGGATGCCCTGGGATATTAGAGAGTCTCCAGTCTTCTCTGTCCACTTTCCTGCCGCCCTCTTCCACCATGAAGTCCGCCCTACAGGGGCCAGTGTCTGCAGAGCCTTGGTTACCAGGTCTGGTTTCTGAGTGCGTATCTGCTCTTTTCTCCTCCACGGTCTTGTGTTTCCCTGAAAGGCCCCATCCCCAGTGACTCCTCTTCCCATGGTTTCCTGGCCTTCCTGTGGCAAGTTAGGCGGGCCGTCTGCCTCTTGCCCAAGCCCTTCCATCTGGGTGGGCTGCAGTAAAGCTAGATCAATCCCCGCCTGCTTGTGCACCCCCCGGTGGCCAGAGTAGGCAGGGAGAAAGCAAAGAAGGGAATCCAGCCCCCTGTGTGGGAGAGACTTGTGAAAACCCCGGAGCTCCCACTTGCGGATTCTCAGGCGCAGGAGAGCGTGTGGAGTGGCCGGCGTGGGATGCCAGCTTCCTGCAGGCATCGTCAGTGTGCATCTGCCCGGCAGCCAGTTCTTCCGTGTCCCTGTGACTCCTGGCCCCCTCCTCTCGTCTGCCCGCCCAGACAGCCTTTCCCTGGCCCCCTGGGCTGACCAAAATGTGCTTTCTACTGTGAGCCCCTATCCCAAGACCCTGGGAGAAGGCGAGGCCAGGGTGTGAATGTAAAAAGGCCACCTCTCCCTCTTAGCGGCAGGCCTTGTGGGGGACGGGAGGGAGTGGGGGCTGGCCTTCCTTTTTGCATTGCTCTAAGATGGGGGCTCGACCCACCGTGCCCCCGTTGGGGAGCCTGTCCTCCAGTATGGCGTCTGGAGCGGGAGCTGCAGCTGCCACCCAGCTCCCAGGGCAAGGGGGAACCTGGCTGTGTCTGTTAGTCTTTTTGCTTTTTTTTTTTTTTTTGCCACATTGGCAGAAATGAGACTGCAGGGTCCTGCCCCGTCCTGTATGTTTGAGTTCTTTCACTAGTGGTTGAGGCTGGTTGCACAGGTTTGAGTCAAATTGTACTTTGGTCCATTGTTAATTGAGAAACTTTCAATAAAATATTCTTTTCTACAGTTTTTGTGCCATGATTTTTTTTTTTAAGATTTATTTATTTATTTATTTATTTGACAGCGAGAGCAGGAACACAAGCAGGGGGAGTGGGAGAGGGAGAAGCAGGCTTCCCGCCGAGCAGGGAGCCCAACGCGGGGCTTGATCCAGGACCCTGGGACCATGACCTGAGCCGAAGGCAGACACTTAACAACTGAGCCAGCCAGGTGCCCCTTGTGCCGTGATTTTTTTAAAAATGTTTCCTGAATATAGACAGTCCATGTTTATTATAGAAAATTGGTAAGACAGGAGTTTGAATCTTAAAATTGCATACACTAGTACCACTACAATATTAACATTTTGGACTTAGTTGAGATTCATACGTGTAAGTTTTGTTTTTTTCACGAAAATAAATTTGTGGGTTTTTTTTTTTTTTTCTTTAAAGATTTTCATGAGAGGGAGAGAGGCAGAGGGAGAAGCAGGCTCCCAAAGAGCAGGGAGCCCGATGCAGGACTCGATTCCAGGACCCCGGGATCATGACCTGAGCCGAAGGCAGATGCCCAACCATCTGAGCCACCCAGGCGCCCTGGTTTTATTTTTCCACTGACATTATTTGGACCTTTATGTCCCAGACTTTTTTAGGTGACACTTTTATTATTGTCAGAGAGAGAGAGCATGAGCAGAGGAGGGGCAGAGGGAGAAGCGGGCTCCCCACCGAGAAAGGAGCCCAATGCAGAACTCGATCCCAGGACTCCAGGATCATGACCTGAGCAGAAGGCAGATGCTCAACCGACTGAGCCACCCAGGTGTCCCGACAATCACTTTTTAAGATGACAACCCCGTTTTGCAAATAAGAAATTGACAATTCATGGGGTGTGTGGTTGCCTCAGTGGAGCATATGACTCTTGATTTCAGGGTTATGAGTTCAAGCCCCACATTGGGTGTGGAGCCTACTTACTAACTAAAGAAATTGACAGTTGACAGTTCGTAAAGGTTTCAGTAATGGATCCAAGGAATCACAGGTGTTAAATCCCTCAGCTAGGTTTGAACTTAATTCTGATCTGTTAGCCCTTGCTGTTAACTGCTCTGATATGAGGATGTGTTGCTAGATATTCACCACTCAATTCACCAGCACAATTAAATTTGGGTTGTTCATCAGTCTTGATGGAACCGTATTTTACAAAAGGAAGATCGCTCCAGTCATTAATCACATGTCTAATAAATTAAGTAATGACCATGATGATTATGTTTTTCTCTAAAGGCTGAACAAGTCATGGGGTGCCTGGGTGGCTCAGTCATTGGGCATCTGCCTTCAGCTCAGGTCATGATCCCAGGGTCCTGGGATCAAGCCCCGCGTCGGGCTCCTTGCTTGGCGGGAAGCCTGCTTCTCCCTGTCCGACTCCCCCTGCTTGTGTTCCTTCTCTCACTGTGTCTCTCTCTGTCAAGTAAATAAATAAAATCTTTAAAAGTAAATAAATAAAGGCTGAACAGGTCAGACAAGTTTTAAGCCTGGAAGTCTTTTTTTTTTTTTTTTTGATAGACTTTTTTAGAGCAGTTTTAGGTTCACAGCAAAATTGAACAGAAAGTACAGAGACTTCCCATATATCCTCTGGCTCCATACATGCACAGCCTCCCCTATTATCAACGTCCCTCACCAGAGTAGTACAGTTATAAAAATCTATGACCCTATAGTGATTATTGTCATCACTCAAAGTATAGTTGACGTTAGGGTTCAGTCTTGACATTATACATTCTTTTTCTTTGGACAAATTTAAGATACATGTGCCCACCATTACAGGTCATACAGAGTAGTTCCTGTGCCCAAAATATCTTCCATGCTCTGTCTCTTCGTCCATCCCTCCCTGCCCCCTCTAACTCCTGGCAACCACAGATCTTTTTGCTGTCTCCATAGTTCTGCCTTTTCCAGAATGTCATATAGTTGGGAGTCACACAGCATGTAGCCTTTCGGACTGGCTACTTTTGCTTAGCAACATGCGTTCACATTTCCTCCATGTCTTCATGGCTCGACAGTTCATTTCTTTGTCACTCTGAATAATACCCCGTTTTCTGGATGTACCATGGTGTAGCCATTCACCTACTGAAAGACATCTTGTTTGCTTTTCCAGGTTCTGCCAATCATGAACAAAGCTGCTATAAATCTCTTGTGTCCAGGTTTTATGATTCCAACTCATAGCGGTATGTAATTTTACATATATTTTTAAATTAACATCATAAGCATGTCATTAGTAATTCTTAAATATAAAAGTAGTGAGCTTTTAATAGACATTCTTTCTGAAGGATCAATTTTGAGTTCTCTAGTTTCCATCATCAGATGGGCATTATTAACAACTCTGTAATACACTGAATAGACATTCCATGGTTTTCTTAATCTTTCCTCTATTATTGCAACCCGCAGGGTGCTTCTGCTTTTCAGTATTACAAACAACAGTGACTACCTTTGGGCATAATGTTGTTTTCGTGATCTCGTAGGTTACGTTAGAAGGTAGGAATATTTAAGGCAGCGGTTCTCAATTGGGGCAATTTTTCCAGAGGACATTTGGCAGTGTGTGGAGACATTCTGGGCTCTAAAAATTGGGAAGAGGGGAGGAGAGGTGTTCCTGGTATCTAGTGGATAGATGTCAAGGATGCTGCTAAGCATCCTACCGTGCACAGAACAGCCCTCCCCACCACAAAGAATTCCCTCGCCCAAAATGTCAATAGTGTTGTTATGGAGAAACCCTAATCTAAATTCTCAAGTATTATCTTCTTTGAATTCTTTGCTATTATGTATGGGAAGCAGCATCGTTCGTTGATTAAAGACATGGGTTTTGGTGTCCAACAAATTAGGAACTAGGTAGTAACCTACTCCTGAGACAAATCATTTGGCTTTGATTTTTCTTTTTTTTTTCTCCTGAAGATTTTATTTATTTATTTGACAGAGAAAAAGAGAGAGAAAGAGAGAGAGAGAGCACGAGCAGGGAGGAGGAGCAAGCAGAGAGGGAGAAGCAGACTCCCACTGAGCGGGGACCCTGATGTGGGACTCAATCACAGGACCCGGGATCATGACCTGAGCCGAAGGCGGATGCCCAGCCAACTGAGCCACCCAGGCGCCCTGATTTTTCTCCTTAAAGCAAGATGAGACCCAGCCTCACATGGTTTCTAAAACCAATACAGTATTAGTACTTTAATTTTGCCAATCTGATAAAGTAAAAAGTGGCCTCAATTTTATTTTAGGATTGAGGCTGAACATCTTACTTAAGTGCTGCTTATATTTTCTTTCTCTGTTAGCTATTGCTCTCTACCCCTTGTCCCTCTCACTCTCTCTCTGTGCTCCGCCCCCTCTCAAATGAATGAATGAATGAATGAATGAATGAATACTTTTTTTAAAAAAGAATTGAAGGAAGAAACAGACAATTCCACAACAGTAGTTGAGATTTCAATACCTTACTTGGATTGATGGATAGAACTTCTAGAAGAATAAGAAAACAGAGTACTTAAACCTCACTATAAATCAATTAGACCTGAGAGACTTCACCCAATAATAGGACATTCTACCCAGCAACCACGGAACACTCATTCTTCTCTATTGTACATAGAATATTCTTCAGGATAGACTATATTTTAGCTCACAAAACAAGTCTC